CACACTTTGTAAATAGTGCTTCAACGGGCATCCTTATGACTTGAATGATTTAGTACGTCGTTGTTCCCCTTAGATCGAATCAAGATCCCATCTTGGATTTAGACTGAAGATACAAAGCATATATAGGGACCTGCTCCCAACAGGAAGATATTTGTGCCCAGATCTTTCTCGGAGGAACAATAATACAAGCGTGTCTCCCTCAGGCGGAGCCACTCATGTTAGCTCCTCGACGCCGGGTCCACCATGCATGGGTATTCTTCCCTCGTGGATCCTATTCTAAGGTTATTTCAAAGAAGTAACTCATCAAATAGTCATGCAAGATGCAACCAGAGAAAAATAACATTTGCTAGCAGGCATTTCGGCTTGGAAAAATGACATTCGCTTTACAGGCTCTAACATCTTTGGCGATTTGCCAAACATGCTAGTTCTCAGGCCATCCAGACGATAAATAGCATCACAATCAGTACGGCTGTGCACTTTTCTTCTCCTTTAGGGGGGCGGCATGTTTTCTTTTCACCTATCCACATCACAAAAATTACATCGATCTCTTTCCACGCAACAGTTGAACCAATGGACATCGATGGTATTGATGTAGTATATGGCGTGTAAATCTGTGATGATGGATGAGAATATCACTCTCATTATCTTCAATACTCCGACGCTAGTCGAGTACAAGTTCAATTGATCTGCAGAAACAAAGAGCACTACTTCTGTCCCCAGCTGGATGAAGTGCTCGGCCGCCCTAATAGTCGCCATGCAAGAGATTCTCAGGATAATTGTGCAGATGGACCGTTGTCGTCGGTCCCGAACATGGCTTGATAACAACAAAACATGACCAGTTTCAACATCCAATGAAATGTCATCATCCAAGGAAACTCACTCGGCCAACCAAATGACACTCGACATCACGAAACGTACCTCTTGCTTCAGCAAGTGGAGGTTGATATGATTAGACCGATCCACTTGAGCACATAGATTTTTGAAATACTCAAATACTTACTCATGTTGATAGAGGAAAATCTACATGACCTTGGAACCTTGGAACCTTGTGCAGAATGACAGGATTAAGGGAAGCCACTTGGAAAGGCACATCTGAAAAAGGAGCACGTAGATGGTTTTGTATGCACACATTCATTCAGGTCATACGTACATCCAACGGACGGCCAAAAGCGCAAGTTGTGTAATGGAATTGCCTCTCACTCGAAAGCGACCGTAAATTAGGATTGTTTTATTTGCTTGGCGATGAAGCACCTGCTGGGATGTTCCCATTGAGGATATAGTTGTGCTCGAAAATGAAGTGCGTGGACAGTAAAATCCACCCACCCGAAATGACTTGTACCAATCGGTGCTCGGCAAGGAGGCATCCCGGAATGATGTGCAGCTGCAAGTTTTGGTTGCAGGAACAAGTCTCGGTCAGAGTCCCACTCGATAGGCGAAGAGAAATATCTTGGTGCGTTTACCTCCCTTCCACTTTTTCGGCGCACTTTTTTCCCCTGGGTTCACCGGCCCCGGCCCTCGCCGACCCGCAACCCGCCCGCCGTACATGTCATGGCTATCCGACGGTCTGTGTCGTCGCTGGCCAGGCCGGTGAAGCCCGCCCCAAACCCATTTTGCAGGCAGAGATACAGGCAGGAGCGGCACCATTTCCCGCCTCATGTTGCCCTATAAAACACCGCAGGCGCCGGCCAGCCACCAGGCAAAGCCAGGCTCATATTTTTTTCCCGTTGCACTTTTGGCTCTCCCCATATCCCTGTTCCCTGAGCTTCGTTCCATCCCAAGAACGGGAGCAACAAGCAGCATTGTTGAGTTCAGTTCTAACATGGCAAAAGTGGAACAGCCAAATCACTACTGCTCATACAAATAGATCATAGTACTGATTTTAAAACATTATAAGAAAGATAGTGAATCGTTCACAAATCTAATCGTTCTCAAACGTGCAATTGATCCAGGCTACTCCCGTGCACGCATATGCCCCATCCAAGGCTTGGTCATGGAGGTCATCCTCACCTTCTCCTTCCTCATCATCATGTAAGCGACCATCCTAGACCCCTGGACCACGGTGCCCGGTTACGAACCGATGCTCACAGGCCTCATAGTAGGTGCCAACACCATTGTCGGCGGCAACTTCTCCGGCACGTCCGTGAACCCCGCCCAATCCTTTGGGCATGTGTTGGCCAACGGAGTGTGGACCAACCACTGGGTGTACTGGGTTGGCCCAATGGTCGGTGCCCCCTCGCTGGGTTTGTCTACGAGACGTTGTTCGTGGTGAAAAAGTCGCATACTCACATTTATATTTTACGACAATCGAGGTTGTTGTTAGATTGATTGTTCCGGCGAAGTGCTTCTAGCTTGGGTGTCGAAATGGTTGTTCATGGTGAAGAAGTCGCATGCTCACAGGCCTTTTATAGGTTGTTGCGGGTGCCCTTAAGGGCGACTGTGAGCTTATTGCGTCTTGGCGAAATGCTTATGTTTCCTGCTCTTGGGAGGAGAAATTATCTTCACAAATGTTGACCAAGATTTATATATGCCATCGGCTAGATAGTAGCATTGGTCATACCGAGACGACCCTTGGTAAAGTTGCAAGATGGAGAAGTACCAAGAGCTAGCCTCGGAAACATATGAGATTTCTGCTAGATGTTGAATGTCATTGTGAGATCCAGGCAACCCAAAGAAGCAATGCCAGATGCAAAATCTTTGGTGGCAACAACTTCCAAAATTATGGTTGGATGGGTGAATTGGTCGTTCCAAGATGCAAGGCAATTCTTTCACTTACAGTGCATACAATTAGCACCGCCTAGCATCCCATGCCATCTTTTTTCTTTATGCATTGCTAAAAGCTTGGTCTGTCTCCTTGGCATTGGATGCTTGAGATATTGTGGTCCATAAACACGCACCACGGTTTCATCGAAACTTTTGTGCACTTGACGATCGGATCGTTGGAGTGCCATCCATGAATCTACAGGAGAGCTATATGCAAGCATCTAAAGTGTCATGGTCACCTTTTGAAAAGGGGAAAACACAGAAGACCGACGACATTTCTCTATTGTTGGAAGGAAGAACCAAGGGCATGCATGTTGTCAACAATTCTACGGAACTATCGTTCGGTTGTGCAGAAATGTCGCCGAAACACTTATGGCAAGAAGGTGCAACCTTGCACATACTAGTGGAGGAAGAGGCGCTCTTGCCCAACGTATCTGTTCCGGCGAACTGTCGCATGACCAACCTGCGACCCGGACGCTACCTCTTCCTTTCGGTTGATGCTATCCATTGAGCAATCATCAATATTATCGCATGTTCTTCATTGTCCATCATTTCACTCCCGAAAACGGAGCTCGAATCCAACGACAAATCATGACAACACATTAACTCCACCATCGGATCCATCTACACATAATATGAATTATCTACACGAATCTATGAGCTGTGAAACTAAATCTACAAGAAAAGGTTGGCGAAATTTATCTTGAGGTCGTATGAGAGAAAACCGGACGGTAGGAAGAAGGCATGGGGTTGCGGCGAAGCATTAGAGGTCCTAGAATGGTTCAACGGAGGTGAGCGGAACCGAATAACTGTGCTCCGGGTGTCGGAGGCGGCAGTAAACGAAGGCGACGCGGGATGTGGGTGGCGGCGGAAGGGAGTGCATTTCCTAAAATATCTGTGGCGCCAATATTTTTGGTGGACGAAAGACACACTATACCACATCGCCCAACCTCCAAATATGGAGGCTCGAGGGATCCAAAAATTATGACGACTCTAGTCGGTTGTCGCCTCTGTTAGAGTGGTCTTTTCGGCCGAAATAGCCATATCGATGGTTATTATGCCTATATATTATGCCGATCGGGCCGAAGTGGCAACTCTTTTAGAGGTTCTTTTAGGTGCTACAATCAAAAGTTTTGTCCCTTGCTTCGCAACATCTATTACACCTGGAATGGTTGAAATTTATGTCTTCCAATCAAATATATTCAAACAACTGATTAATCAAAGCTTTTAATCACCCCCCCCCCACCCCGTGTGCCAAACAGCCATCACAGTCACTCCATACAAAACCAATTTTGACAGCGTAGCTAGAAACACTCCGCCGAAAAAACCTATCGGCAACATCAATTACCTTACGCATAGGTATATATCGCAAAATGTAAATGCAAGCATATTGCA